ATGCACAGGTCCCATCTATGCCTATGCACTATGGACCGAATCTTTACGAGCATCCCCGAAGACAGACAGACCGAGGTTTCCTTATCGCAAAAACAGATCTTTAGTTCTCTCTTACACTGCAGATTTCAAGAAGCGAACAACAAACATACAAAAATCATTTAATCATTCTTTCTAAATAAACTTTCTAAATCAAACCAGTGTTTCATATAATTTCTTCTGTATTACAAATTAAGTTCTTTATTTCTTATTCACGCTTATGGCACAACAGAACTAAGCGTTCGATTTAAGTGATTCAAAGAACTTTCTGCTTGTTTTAACAAAATAATTGATTTTGAAAAAAAATTTTTGTTTCAACTTTATTTTTTATTTATTTATTTATTTTTTAAAATTTTTTGTATATTGCAAATAATTCAGATTTTATTTTTAATTCTGACTATAGTTCTAATATACTTAATACAAATAATTTCAACTTTGCAATTCAGTTTATATAATTCTTATAAATATTAGACAAATATTACAATATTTATAATAATCTATTTGAAAACATTCAGTAATCGTCGAACATTTCGTTACGGTACGGGAAGTTCCAGCAATTTGCCTTAAGGCACGATGCCATACCCCCCACTAGTTTTTTTTAAATTACTATATTTGTTACAACTGCTACATAATTAACATCTAGTAAAAGTAATGAACAATTATATATTTAATCAAAAGAGCACAAAATGAAGGATAGAATTTTCAATGAAATGATATCCGTAGTATGTTGATTTGATATAAAATAAAATCATATAATAATAATAATACAATTAATATGTAAAATAAGTAAAATTTCTGAATAATAAAAATACTAGGAAAACAATAAAGTAGAATAAAAGCAATAAGTGAAAGATAATAACAAATATAACAAAATAACAATATCAGAAATATTAATTATTTAATAAGATACTAATAATAATAATATTAATATCAATGTTAGCGTTTGCAAATGACTATTTATTTGAGCAATTATGTTGTGAAAATCACACAATAAATAACACATATCAAACAAACATCTATCTGACTATGTTCAGTAAAAATTCCTAACTTTCATCACTACAATTCATCATTGTAAAAATGTGTTTTTTTTGCTGTTTTTCAAAAATTTGTTTCCATGGGCGGGTTAAAATGGGACAGCCAGGGGTCAAACAGGCCCAACGTCTTATTTTTAATTTTAAATGTATTTTACGAAATATTAGCTAAATTATTCAAACGATGCAAAATATAAATTTCATGGATACATTTCTTACAAAGATAACACTATATATAACCTTGATATGGTATTTTGTCAGAAATAATTAGCAGCAGAATTAAATAACTATTTATTTAATTAATTAATCTTTTTTTTATTAATTTGATATCTTTGAAAATTGCAATTTATAACTTAATTTAATTTTTTATTTGCCATTTTTTATTGTTAACACTTTTTGTCAGGGTAAAGATTCACTTGGTTCCTTGTCCCCACCCAGATATAAGATTTTATAGAGGTTATATAAAATAAACTGTTGAATCTCACTTGAAATTAACAATCTATCTTACAAAACAATAAAATAACGTATACTTAAAAATTGTATTGAGTTTTTATAAACTAAACAACAGTGCTCACGACCACAAAAACTAACAAGGAAAGAAAATACTTTTGTTATGGATTTTCAAACATTGCTGTTTATCTCCCGTTAGCAATCAAGGTCACAAATCTTTTACCCTCTACTTTCAAATATTGTTGTTAAAAAATTTGTGAATTCACTTGTTTTTGAGATATAGAGTAAATGTAGGTGTAGGTGTGTGTGTATTTGTAAGTGTATGTTCATCTCATTCCTATTTCCTGAACCCATTTTAAATTGTATTTGTATTTAAAGAACAGAAATGTATTAATAGATTTTAGGAATAGGAAACGACGACGACGACGCCGTTGTTACCTTGACATCTACTACTAGGCACTCGTGCACTATTAATAAATATATAAATGTTAAATTTTTTAAGTGGACCATTTAACTTCATTAGATCAAATAGCATAAAGGGAAACATTTTTTTTTTGCTAAAATCACTATTTTTATTGTCACAAGTATATGCCTGACTATGTTTGGGCCATATCTGTCTGTCATATCTGTGTGCCATATAAAAAATAGTATCTTTTTTGATACATTTTTGAATAAATTATCCAATAAAGTTATCATGGCCCATCTGATGAGATTTTTGATATTATCGTGGTCATTAAAGTGTTAAAGTTGCTCGTCAGCAGAGTCCTTTCATGAGCGTCCCAATTTGCCTCATGAAATTTATTTCGTCGAAGTTTGCTTTCCTTTTTATTCTATTTTGCTCGTCAGTAGAGTCCCTTTTGTATTCCTGGAGCTCGTCAACAGAGTTTGCTCCTTTCTCATTCAAATTGGCTTGTAAATAGAGTTTCTTTCTATTATTTTTCAGTAGAATTTCTTTTAATTAACTTCAGGTAGGGTAAGTTATTGTAATCGTCCAAAAATCGAAATTAAAATTGTTTGCATATCTTCACGTTTCGGTGGTTTCTGAACATTTTGGCTTCGATTTCTATTGATAGGGGTACGTTACGGAAAGTTCCAGTAATTTGCCTTGAGGCACGATGCCATACATCACTAGCATTTTGAGTATTTTTATCGTTAATAGTTTTCCTTATACCTCCTTTTTAACACATTCATCGCCACGATAGTATCAGATAAATTTTCAGAAGGGCTATATTAGATAATCTAGCTAAAAATCTATTAAGGGAAGTAATTTTTTTGTCAAAATTCCTATAAAAGCACTATTTTTTATGTCTCACATATATGACTGCATATGACATGGCCCTATATTAATTTTTTTTCTCTTACAGCGTATGACTGACATATATGTCTGATATAGCTCATGTAGAACTTCTTAGTGTCAGAAACATATGACTGACACGACAATTAACATGTTAAAATTACAATATCTGTTCATTATTATTTTTTTTATTTAAATAACAAAAATATATATATTCAATTTTACCGACGTTTCTTAAATGTGGAATGTCACCTTTAGACACAAACATTAATATACTAATTAGGGTGGTCCTTAATATGGATGTTTTCAAATTTCTTCATTAAAAAATAATTTAGGGTGGTCCTTAATATGGATGTTTTCGAATTTCTTTATTAAAAAATAATTATCTAAAAGTTTTAGCTCTTAATATTAACTTTAACAAATTCCGCACTCTAATCAAAGTTTCTTATGGAAATAACATGGGTAAAATTCCAGTTGTTTTTTAGAATTTGCATAACTTACTGACAAGTGAATCAAAATTATAAGAATAATATTATATTTGCTTATTTTGATCATAAATAAAAAAAATACAACAAAAATTTACCTAAGAATAAAAACCAAGAAACTTTTGTTGGAGTGCGGACTATCTTAAAATGAATATTAAGGCTTAAAACTTTCAGAGAATTTTTATTTATCAATTTGGAAGCATTTGAGTCCCTGGGAGCAAAAAAATTCGGAAACATCCATATTAAGGACCACCGTAATACACATACAGTATAAAATTAAAAACAATTAATAAAATATTCTTATATAGGTGTGTATGGTTGGATGTATATTGAGACTCTTTTTTGAATTTGGAGGTGTCAAAATTTCTGTAGAAGGAGACATTTGTTATGTTTGAAACGCTGAGAAAATAATATATGAAAAATTAATAAATTGAAAATTAATATTAACATATATTATATATATTAAACCCAATATAGATTTTTCTAACCCGACTGTACTACAATTCGAACAAAATCTATTTAAATGAAGAATTATAGAAGGATCTTTTTTTTGACTATTTATAATAATAGAACAATAAATAAACGCAATGAATCAACACAAATTTTATTTTTAGTTTCCACTGAATGAAGGGTAGGATTATATCCGAAACGTATGGATTTGAAATAAATTTTTGAAAGAAATTCATGTTTTTCATTATATATATATATATATATATATATATATATATGTGTGTGTGTGTGTGTGTGTGTGATATATATATGAGTTCTTCTCTAATTTTTGGCGCGCAAAAACAGGTTTTGCGAAAATTACTCATATTTGCCTTTGCCTTGCTCCGTGTTGGTTTTCTTCGTTTTTTATTGTTTAAAACTTTTTTTAAATAATAAACATACACGCATACACACATACACACGCACATACACTCACATATGTATCTATACATATGTGTATATATAATATATTACACAAGGTATATAGACAGAGCATATATACACGCGTTTGTATATGATATATTATATACATATCTATACATATGTATATATGCATGTATGTATATGCGTATGTGTATATAAGATACATAAATATAAGGTACATTCGCTCAATTCAAAGACTCGTATAGATATTAGGAATTTCTTCTTGATTATTTGCAAATTCGATTTTTTAAATTTATGAATGACTTTTGGTTAACTTAAAAAAAATCGTGCAAGTTTTACTTAACTTCGATTTATTTACAAAAACTAGTGGTGTCAGAAAAGCATATTTTTGCCTTAATACAAGTTCTTGAAACCTAACAACCAATTTGTTAATACTAATACTGATACTAATTTCTAATTTATTATTAAAATTATACAAAAATGCTAAATTTTAAATATTAAAAATTTAGAATTTGTTCAATTTTTGGCAACTTTAAATTTTAATGTAAATTCTATCCTTTGTACTCTTTTTTATTTAAATTTATGTTATTGTTTATTATTATTACTAGATGTTAAATTATTTAACAGTTGTAATAAATATTGTAATTAAAAAACAATTTTTTTTAATTGACTACTAAGAAGTTTCTATTTCAGATTCGAACTTTTAGTTCAATTTGAAATAAAAGTCTGTTTTTTGAACAAAATTTGAAAGTTTTAATTTGAATGTTAATTTATAATTTTTTATAAGAATTTTTATAGAATGTTAATTTATATTTTTTTCTTTTTTTGCAGACAATTACCAGTACCTAGAAGGCATACACCTTATTTTGGACAACCCGATTATAGGATATACGAATTGAACAAGAGGCTGCAGCAGAGATCAGAGGTACGGAATATATAATAGAAAACTTAAGAGAAATCTTGATCTTTTGACTTATGGAACTTATATGAAAACTTGAAAATTCATAAAAATATCAATATTATCGTCAGTAGAGTTTTTTTATACCGAATTGATGTCTCATTAATCACGTGATCGATTTTTAAGGATTTTTGAACCCCTCTTTTTCCTTGGTGATATTCAAAATTACCCTTCCATGTACTTTTAGTTACGAGGAAATTTTGTATTTTTTTTATTTGTTTTGAAAATGTCTGATTTTTTTTTAAATTCAGATAAATGGTAAAAAACACGTGATGCCTTACTATATTCTTCCCCCGCACGTGATATTTCGAGATTTTTTGTCAAAGCCCCCTTACCCCTGAAAACCTCACGTGATTAATGGACGCCCCTTTATCTGGTAAAGCACAAGTTGATTGTAAGTAGAGTTCTTTTTCTAATAAATTCATAACTGAGATCTGGTAAAAATCATGTTGCTTGTCAGTAGAGTCCTATTTCTAATGAATTCATATCCCAAATTCGGTGAAAATCAAGTTGATCGTTAGTAGAGTTCTTTTCCCAACGAATTCATATCTCTGATCTGATTGATTGTCAGTAGAGTTCTTTTTCCAAATAATGCATATAACTGATCCTGTAAAAATTATGTTGCTTGTCAGTAGAGTTCTTTAACTCTAACGAATTTATAACTCAAATATAGTAAAGTACAAGTTGATCGCCAGTAGAGTTCTTTTTACAACGAATTTATGACTCTAATATGGTAAAGTACAAGTTGATCATCAGTAGAGTTCCTTTTTTAATGAATTCATAACTAAGATTTGGTAAAAATCATGTTGCTTGTCAGTAGAGTTCTTTTTCTAATGAATTCATAACTAAGATCTGGTAAAAATCATGTTGCTTGTCAGTATAATTCTTTTTCTACCGAATTTGTGACTCTAATATAGTAAAGTACAAGTTGCTCGTCAGTAGAGTTCTTTTTCCAACGAATTTATGACTCAGATCTGATAAAAATCATGTAGATCGTCAGTAGAGTTCATTTTTTACCTAATTAATAAGTCAGATCCGATAAAAATCAAGTTGATCATCAGTAGAGTTCTTTTTCTACCAAATTTATGGCTTTAATATGATAAAATAGAAGTTGATCGTCAGTAGAGTTCTTTTTTTAATAAATTCATAACTGAGATCTGGTAAAAATCATGTTGATTGTCAGTAGAGTTCCTTTTTTAATGAATTCATAACTAAGATTTGGTAAAGTACAAGTTGATCATCAGTAGAGTTCCTTTTCTAATGAATTCACGTCTCTGATCCGGTAAAGTACAAGTTGCTCGTTAGTAGAATTCCTTTTTTAATGAACTCATAACTAAGATCTGGTAAAAATCATGTTGATCATAAGTAGAGTTCCTTTTTCTGACGAATTCTTAACTCTGATTCGGTAAAAATCAAATTGATCGTCAGTAGAGTTCCATTTTTAATGAATTCATAACTAAGATTTGGTAAAAATCATGTTGCTTGTCAATAGAGTTCTTTTTGCAAAAAATTCATGTCCCTGAGCTGATAAAAATCATGTTGATCGTCAGTAAAGTTCATTTTTCATCTAATTTGTAAGTCAGATCCGATAAAAATCAAGTTGATCGTCAGTAGAGTTCTTTTTCCAATAAATTCATATCACTGATCTGGGAAAAATCATGTTGATCGTCAGTAGAGTTCTTTTATTCAAGGAATCTATACCTCTGATTCGGTAAAAATCAAGGTGATCATCAGTAGAGTTCTTTTTCTACCAAATCTATGGCTTTAATATGATAAAATACAAATTGATCGTCAGTAGAATTCTTTTTCTAACGAATTTAAGCTTCTGAACCGATAAAAATCAAGTTTTTCGTCAGTAGAGAACTTTTTCTACACAATCTATGATTCTAGTATAGTAGAACTCAATTTGCTCGTCAGTAGAGTTCTTTTTCCAACATATTCTTAACTCTGATCTGGTACAAATGAAATTGATAGTCAGTAGAGTTCTTTTCTTATGGATACATCCAAATACCACTTGTCAATTTAGGCTTAGTTTTATAATCGGTGTAGAAAACGACGACAAAAGTCAAATTTTAGATCACATATACAAATTTCTAGTGTCAAATGATTTAGAATAACATCAAACGTCAAGACCATAAAATTAATATAAGTATTCATAAATCTACTTCTACTTCATTCATTCATAAATCTACTTCTACTTCAAAAATCAAGTTGATCACCAGTAGAGTTCTTTTTTTCAAGGAATCTATAACTCTGATTCGGTAAAAATCAAGTTGAGTGTAATTAGAGTTCTTTTTTTAACACATTCATATCACTGATCTGGGAAAAATCAAGTTGATCGTCAGTAGAGTCTTTTTTTTTTCAACGAATTCATATCACTGATCTAGTAAAAAGTAGTGTTGCTTGTAAGTAGATTTCATTTTCTGACGAATCTAAAACTCTAATGTAGTAAAGTACAAGTTGCTTGTCATTAGTTCCTTTATTTAATGAATTTATTACTCTGTACTGGTAAAAATCAAGTGAATCGTCAGTAGAGTTCTTTTTCTAATGAATTCACGTCTCTCGTCCGGTAAATTACAAGTTGATTGGCAGTAGAGTTCTTTTTCCGACAAATTCATATCTATAATCTGGTAAAAATCAAGTTGATCGTCAGTAGAGTTCCTTTTGTAATTAATTTATGACTCAGATCTGATAAAAATCATATTGATCGCCAGTAGAGTTGTTTTTCCAGTGATTCATAACTCTGATCTGGGAAAAATCAAGTTGATTGTCAGTAGAGTCCTTTTTCTAATGAATTTAAATCCCCGATTCGTTAAAAATTATGTTCCTCGTTAGTAGAGTTCTTTTTCTAATGAAATTATGACTCAGATTTGCCAAAAATCAAGTTGATCGTCAGTAGAGTTCTTTTTCCAACAAATTCATATTTTTGCCCTGGTAAAAAATCAAGTTGCTCGTCAGTAGAGTCCTATTTCTAATGAATCCATATCCCAAATTCGGTAAAAATCAAATTGATTGCCAGTAGAGTCCTTTTTCTAACGAATTTATGACTCAGATCTAGTAAAGATCATGTTGTTCGTCAGTAGAGTTCTTTTTCCAACGAATTCATAACTCTGATTCTATAAAAATCCAGTTAATCGTCAGTAGAGTTCTTTTTCCAACGAATTTATAATTTAAGTTTTTCTTTCCCTTTTCGTTTCTCACAATTCGCTCCCACTTCTTCATTACACGTGTGCGACTACACTGCGTTGTAACCTTGATCAGTGTCCATAATGCACCGCTATCAATAACATTAAATATAGGAGGGCAATATGTGCTCCTCTTATTTCTCGTTTGTTAATATAATAGTATGTTATCATTTTACACAAATTTAGTGTTCAATCAATTTTACATCATAATTCATTTTTTCTGTTGTTTTTCCTGGTTTGGTAAGTATAATTTCCTCCTTTTTATATATTAGGTTGTCAAATATCTCCCTTCCGCCTTTTTGTATTATAAACCAAGAGCAAAAAAGCGGAAGGGAGATATTTGACAACCTAATAATTATATTTATCATTAACTTTGTATTTATGTTATATGTTTTTTAGATTACTGAATGATGACACACATCAAGTGTCGAAACGTTTAATGGAATAAATAATTTTGTTATTTAATCTTTTTTTTTAATTCGACGATTGGCCTGCAAAAATATTACAAATATATATACAAATACATACGAGGTGTGTTCAAAAAGTACCCGGAATTACTAATAATTAAATTTCGCGGGTCTGGAGTGTCTGATTGTCAAAATTTTTTTTTTATTGTGTTGGTATGCATGCCCCTAAAGTATGATGAATTTTCAGCTATATTCACTGTTACTTTTGTCTGTGGTAGTCGCTAAGGTTCGACGTGTTTTTCTGAGCTCGGCGATTTTTACAATGGAAGAATTGAAAAGTCAAAGAATTGTATTAAATTTTGCGTAAAAATGAAATAAAGTGTTGCAAAGTGCAAAAATTCACCAGATATGGCTCCGTGTGACTTTTTCCTATTCCCAAAGTTGAAGAGACCCATGAAGGACGGCGGTTTTCCTCGATTGAAGAAATAAAGGCGAATAGCTGAGAGTGCTCAAGGACATATCAAAAAGTGAATATCAAGGGTGCTTCGAAAATTGGAAAAACGCTGGCATAAGTGTGTTATATCTGGGGGGGACTACTTTGAAGGGGACCACATTAATGTAGACGAATAATAAATATTTTTTTGAAAAAACGAAAATTCCGGGTACTTTTTGAACAGACCTCGTACATACAAATCTACTCAATTATTACCATTTACTAAATCCTCTATCTTTTTCCAGGAAAGTGACAACCTCTGGTGGGACTCCTTCGCGACCGAGTTCTTCGAGGACGACGCATCCCTAACGCTCACCTTCTGCCTCGAAGACGGCCACAAACGCTACACGATCGGACGAACGCTCATCCCACGATATTTTCGATCCATTTTCGAAGGAGGCGTCACGGAATTGTATTATAATATGAGACACACGAAGGAGTCTTTTCACAACACTAGCATCACTCTGGACTGCGAACAGTGCACTATGGTCACGCATCACGGGAAGCCGATGTTTACGAAAGTGTGCACGGAAGGCAGGCTGGTGCTGGAGTTCACGTTCGACGATATGATGAGGATCAAGTCGTGGCATCTGAATGTTAGAGCTCATAGGGAATTGATACCGAGGTAAGGGGGATAGAGGACACTTGTATATTAATCAGGAGATCATATTTTATTAACTTCCGGAAGGAAATTCTTTTTGCATTCCTCGACGTTTTGAAGGTTTCTGAACATTTTACTGGCATACCTCAGAAACTAAATGGATGTGTGTATCTGAGTGTATGTATGGGTACAATTATTCGTCCACTTTATACTTTTGGACCAGCTAGATTTTTATTTATTTATTTATAACTTTTAAACGATTTGTCCGAGTGTTTTGTAATATTCAGCAAATTTATAGCCAATTAAATAATCTACAACTTTTATTAATAACAAAATTTTGTATCTCTTATCCTTTTACTTAAAATTTGCAATGAAACAGGTTGTTGTTAAATTTTGGAGGTATATCTTGCTTCATACTTTTAGACCGGCTCGAATTTTATTTATTTGTTTATAACTTCAAAACGAAATGTCCCACCATTTTGCAATATTCAGCAAATTTATAGCCAATTAAATTATCTATAACTTCTATTAACAACAAAAATTGGTATCTCTTGTCCTTTTATCAAAAAATTACATTTAAAAAGGTAGCTGCTTAATTTTGGTGGTCACTTCGTACACATATATCTTACTCTGTCACTCTTCTACACTGTGAGGTATACGTCGCTCTCTTTCGCACTAGTGCTTTATATATCTCTCTCTCATTTTCTCACTATATACTGTTGTCTCTTTTGCGCATCAAAACAGACTCTATATCACATCGCGACTCAAGAAGTTTTACTTCAAAAATAAAATTCTATTTTACTAATTTATACATCGCCAACCTAAGAAGTTCTACTTCAAAATTTAAAATTTATTTTACTTTTTTATTTGCGATAAAAATTGTTCATTTGCTAACCTAAAAAATTTTACTTCCAAAATAATTTTACTTATTTATTTATCTAAAATTTATCAAAAATATTTGTTTTATTTATTTACCTAAGAAGTTTTACTTCAAAAAACATTTTTTTAACTTCCCGTAAGGTAGTTATAGTAATGGGCCGAAAATCAAAAATGAAAATTTTTGCATTCAGTAGAGTCCCTTTTTTCTTTTAATATTTTTATTTCAGTTTGATCGTCAGTAGAGTCCTTTTTTATTTTCATATTTTGCAAAATACGTTTACTCGCTTTTTCTTATCATAGCAAAAGCTACGAAATTATAAAAAAAACTATACTGACCAGCAAAATCTATGAGAGACAAAAAGGGACTCTACTGACGAGCAAAAGTATAGAAAATTAATAAAAGGACTCTACTGACAAGCAAGAGCTAGAAAATTAGTAAAAGGACTCTACTGACGAGCAAAAGTTAAAATATACAAAAAGGGACTCTACTGACGAGCAAAAGTTAAAATATACAAAAAAGGGACTCAACTGACGAGTAAGAGCTAGAAAATTAATAAAAGGACTCCACTGACGAGCTAAAGCTAATATATACAAGAAAGGAACTCTACTGACGAGTAAATTTAAAATGTCAATGCAAAAGGAATTCTACTTTTCTTGTGCATATTTCAAGTCGAGTCTTGTCACTGACTTTAAAGCATTTATGTCAAGCAGTCAGAAATTTGATTTACCTATTTTTGGTAATTTTCGTAAATTGGAATATAGAAGTTTAAAATAATTAGTGAAGGGCTACTGGAATCACAAATAGTGTTGCATCCTGCAATATTCTCTTTCATAATGTTGTTGTTAGATTTATATAAAGTTCATTGCATATATTATATTCAGATTATAATGGGTAGTTGTAATTTTATTATAAAGTAATAAGAATAAGTCAAGTCAACCCGGCAGAAAAAACATAACTCTGGCACTAGAAAAGCTAGGTTGAAAATTAAAACCGTCGCGGCCAAACCGGGACACCTTATTATTCTAAATCTAAGAAGCATTTTTTTTGTTAAATGTTTTACCGATACTATACTACACTACATTAAAATCACCAAAATTTTCAAATTGCCCCTCTGAAATTACAAATTGCTCGCCGGTGGGGCGTGGGCCCCACGTTGGGAAACACTGCTCTAAATCCTTTTCCATCAACTTTGCTCTTTATTTTTGGACACAAGTGGTTCAAAACCAACATTTTCACCATGTCCAAAACATGTTATTATTACATCCTGGTAGTTCCTGATTCACCTTACAATTCTATTTCCTTTACCCCCAGGTCGTTGTAAGTATGCACACGCACGCGGCAGTGGCGGCGGTAGCGTCCCATCACCAGCAGCAACAGCAGCAGCAGCAGCAGCAGCAGCAGCAGCAGCAGCAGAGTCCGCAGCAAGTGCCTCCTTCGTCTTCGGTGCCTCCGGTGCCTCCTCCTCCGGACGTTGGAGGAGTCCTAGAACAACTCACCAAGAACATCACGAGGCAGGGGATCACGAATTCAACGTTGAATTATCTTAGGGTGAGATGATAGTAGTAAGATAATTTTAAATATCGCCAAAGGAGGGGTTAAAAATCCTCAAAAAGCGATCATGTGATTAATAGAAACGTCTTTTGAATATTTTTGCTTCGATATGTTGTATAGTTGGTTCAAAACTTATAATACGTTTTAAGGGGTTACATGGGTTTCACGGTTTCAAAAAATCAAAAAAAAAATATTTTGTTTTGTTAAATTCTGTAACATCTCTAGAATATTGTCTTAAATTTTTAAGTTGATCCGACTAATAGTTTCGGAGATACAGCCTTGAAAAAGTGAACGTCTTAAAACTTTAAACGCGTTTTTCTCAAAACTATGTTTTCAAAGACGGTTGTCAAGATTTCTTAGGAACTACTCAACTGATCTTGATGAAATTTTACACAGTTGTTCGAGATATCGTTTACAAGATAAACAATTTAGGTATTGAACGAAGGATTTTCTTTTTGTTTAATAACAAATATTTAAAAAAAAAAGAATGTCGAGAAATTTTAATCGAAACTTGCATTTTTTTTATAAAAACGTCTGCCAAAAATCCAATTTTCATTTTTTTCTTTATTCCTCCGTCCAATACCTAGTTTATTGTCTTTACTAACACACGTATTTTTAACTTCCCGTAGGGTAAGTTATTGTAATGGGCCGAAAATCGGAATTGAAAATTTTTACATTTCTCGACGTTTTGAAGGTTTCTGAACGTTTTGGCATACCTCAGAAAAAATGGATGTGTGTGTGTGCATGTATGGGTACAATTTTTCATCGACGTTTTCGCGCGCACGGATCAACCGATTTGAATGGTTCAAAAAACATTCGATTCCTATTGATAGGGAGATGTGCTGATTAGTTTTTGGCAAAGGGAGGTCCAGCCGTTACGGAGATACGAAGAAAAGAGTGCATAAAATACATATCGAGTTTTTGAGAGAACACGATCATCCGATTTGTATGATTTTAAAAAACATTCAATTTGTAATGATTGAGAGAAGAGGTGATTAGTTTTGGCAAAGACAGGCCCTCTATTTCGAAGATACAGAGCTAAATGTAATTTATTAGCTAAGCTTACCGAGCTAAGCACAGTATAAGTGAAAATGTCGCACAGAATTATTTGCAAATGCGTTTAGACTGTGACTTTTTCAATTTTGTATAATTAT